CTGGGGAAGGGGGTAAAGGGGGGGTTGGCCAACGCCCTGCCCTCCCCATGGGTCCCTGCAGAGGGCTCGGCGGTGGGTGCAGCACCCGTGGATGTCCCGGGGGGGTCTCCGCTGAGCCAGCACCCACCCTTGGAAGGGGGACGGACGGTGGGTTAGAGTTTTTGGGGGGGTACACAGAGATACGGCAGCACTGAGCTCTTCCCACCTGCCCCACCCTCCTGGAGAAATGGGCCACGGGGTGTGTCCAGTCATAAAAATGGTTTCCTCCCCCCCCTTCCCCCCCCCCCCCCCGAAAATCATATCACTGTCGTTTTTATATGGTGATTAACTCGCTAGTAATTGCGAGGGCTTGACGGGCAGGTATTTATTCCCACAGATGGGGAAACCGAGGCAGAGAGGCTCAGCAACTCGCCCAAGCGCCGCGGGAGGGACCGCCCCAAAGCAGGGCGCAATCGCCCCGCGCCTTTGAGCCGCCGCACAGCGGGACCAGCCTGACACACCCCCACACCCCCCCCCAAAAAAAAAAACCAAACCCATCCCATCGTGGGGCAGCTGCCAGCAGTGCGAGCCCGGATCCGGCCAGCGGCAGGGATGCGCCCCCCCCCCCCCCCCCCCCCCCAGCCCCACCGGACTCGGGGCTCCTCCGCCGCTCACCTCCAGCCCAGGGCTGCATTTCACCAGCCCAACATCACACTGGGGACTGTTCTCATCTCACAAGCTGTAATTGAAGAGTTTTGGGTGGGTGTTTGTTGTTTTTTTGTTTTGTTTTGTTTTGTTTTTTTTTTCTTACATGTTAAAACTTTTTTTTTTTTTTTTTTTTTTTGACACAAACTCACTGTAGGTGCTGGGCCGCCGGTGGAAACGTGCCGCCCCGATTAGGATCTCTGCTTCGCGTTGCGCTGCAGTTTCACTCTCATCCTGCTTAAGCTTGTTGCCACACGCTGGGCGCTGGCGGCTACTGGTCGTGCTGGCGAAGCCTTGGCCTCGCAGCCTGCGCCCATCCCCGGCCTTATCTGCCGTGCGGGAGCCGTGCGGGAAGGGCAGGGTGGGGCGAGCACCTGGTGGCACCAGGCCAAGGCAAAAAGTTTTTTTTTTTTAATATATAATCAGCATGACTCGCTGCTTTAGTCATCCCTGCAAACAGCCCTTGGTGTTACCCGGGACGGGAGTGCCCCGTCCCCCCCCCCATCCCCCCGCCTTGTCTTGCTCAGCACCCACACAGATGGAGGGTGCTGGGGATGGAGGACACGAGGAAGACTCGTGGATGCTTTTCCCAACCAAGTGCAGCCCAGGAAAATACCCCCCACCACCCCCCCCAGCCTCCAGACAGCTCCCTCCCCACCCTGACAAGGGGGATTTGGGGATGTTCACCCCTTCCCGGACAAGCTTCCAGGCACGTGGTGGGGCTGGGGTACCCCTGCCCACCGAGGTGTTTGTGTGTGGTAGCAGCACGGCTCCGCCAGCCTCCCCACAGCCCCTCCGTGCCCCCCCCTTCCCCTCTGAGCCACGCCACGTGCAGCGCCTCGTCAGCAATTAGAGCTCCTTCCCCAGATGGACGGGATCCACCGTGGGAGCGGGTTACACCCCGGTGAGTCGGGAAAAGGTATTTGCAGAAGGAATGACCCCACGGGAGACGACTGCCCATCCGCCAGCCTCTGCCCGGTGGATGAGGCAATGGGGGGGGGGAGGCAGGACCTGCAGCGACCCTCTCAGAGCTTCAACCAAGCCCAAAAGTCCCCACAGAGGTGTGGGAAGCGGGGGGACTGGGCAGCCACTTTTCCTCACAAAAACACGAGGCAGCAATCCCGGGTGGGAGTTAGTCTGAGCTTCGAGCATCAAAGCTGTGCGGGGTCGGGGTGTGCAGCCCCCAGCCCCAGCAAAGCGTCAGGTGCCAGACCCAGCTTCAAAACCTCGGGCTGATCCTGCACCAGCCCGGCTGCATTTGGGCTGTTTAATCCCGTGCTGGCTCTGCTCTGGGAGGGTCCCGTGGGGAGACCCCCCCGGCAGGACCCCCCCAGCGAGGCGGGAAGCTCAGATGGGGTGTGCAAGGGCTCGGCCCCGGCTCAGGCGTCTGCCGGCAGCCCCTGCCAAAGGGGCTGAGCTGCTGCCAAATTTTGGTTGCAATGGGCTGAGACAAGGCTGCAAAAACATTCTGCTCTACCGGTTTTGTGAAAATCAGCGGGTGGGTGAAGGGAAGAGCCCCAGAGGCTGCGGGTGAGCTCGGCTGCGGCATCACCCCGTGGAGCACCCGTGGGTGCCCTGAACGCTGAAGAGCAGCACCACAAGGTGCATCGCCCCGGGGAGAGGGATACCCAGTTAAGCCCAGGCCGGCGTGCATCCCAGCTGGCGATGCTGCGGGCAGGAGCGGGCTGGGTGCTCGAGCAGCTCCGCGGTGGCAGGCCGGGGGCAGAGGGTGCTCACGGGGCCGTTCCCAGCGGCACTGGAAGGATCCTCACAGCCCAGCCGGCCACCCCATCCTCACCCGGCCGGCCCCGCCGCTCCCCCGGCTGCCGGGACACTGCCGGCTCCCGACACTTCAGCGGGGGATGAATTTTGCCAAGGGGTGCTCGCTGCACCCCGAGTCCCACAGGCACCGCCCGTCGCTCCTTCCCCGGCCCCAGCACCAAGGCTCGTGCCCTCCCCGCTGTACGGGCGGGTGAAGAGCCACGGAAGGCTGAGACTTGCCTCAAGGCCACAGCTTGTGCCACAGCCGAGTTTAGGGAGCTCCTGGCCCCGTGGCCGGGGGCACGGCCGATGGCAGAGGGGTGCCAGCCCCCTGTGGCTCTGCTCGGCTCCCCCACCCCGCGCAGCACCGGCGTGCCCGGGTACGAGCCGCGGGGAGCAGCTCCCCCTCCGCCGGCAGAGCAGCAGCCAGACGCTGGCGTAGAGTAAATAGGAGAAACTTTTATTTTGTTATAAAAGTAAAAGGCATAAATAGATGGTGAATCCTACTGGGCTCTCTGCTGGGTGGGTCTGGCTGCACAGCGCCGCAGCGCAGCTCCCAGCTTGTGCTGCAGCCTCTGGCAGCGCCGGCTCAAGGTGCTGTGGGGCTGGAACCCCTTCCCCTAAAACTAGAGCTGTGCTACAACAAAACAGGAAGGGGGGAGCTGGCTGAGGGGGTTTGCAAGGGTAAACTGTGACCATGTACTGACTGCCGACCGGAGAGGAGAGTGCTCTGGCACATGGACATGGCTCCAAGAGGGGCTGGGCTGTAAGCGCTCTGGCGCGAAGCCTGCTCATTTTGAAAACCCGCTGGAATGCGAACCGTTATCTTCCAGCATCTACGGGGGGGGGGGGGGGGGGGGGGGGAGACGCCTTGGCTGGGGGTAAAGCTGGTGGTTATGGGGAGCCACCAGCGGCCTCGGCTCGGTTGCGTGAGTCCGTCTAGTGGCAGGAGACAGCAGGAACTCCAGTTATTGCTCTGGGGTGGGACGGCTGTATGGCTTCGAGCTTTGAACCTCTGGGACGGCCGTCCCGGCTCCCGGAGGGGGGTTGGAAAAGCTTTTCCTTGTGCGCGGCTGCTTTCTCCCCTCTCTTGGGGTGGGAGGGAGGAAGGTGCAGCCGCGGAGCCCTGGCGAGCGGAGGCACTCGTGGTGGTCATGGCTGTGATCTCGGGTGCTGCCCGCCGCGTCTCGGCTCCCCACGGGAGGCAGAGGGCTGCGGGCCGCCGGGGCTCTTAGTACTGGATCAACCCAGTGCGAGGGAGAGGAGAGGGGAGGAAGAAAAAGAGAGGGTTAGTGCCAGAAATACAGGAGCGAGGAGCAGAGGGGAGCACCCTGGCTCAGTGACAGGGGACACAGCCCGGGATGGAGGAGAGCGTTGGTGGCCACGGGCCAGGAGAAGGGGCAGCTTTCCTCTGTGGCTTGAGCAAGCGGGAGCTCGTGGGGTGCTGCAGGGAGGGAGAGGGACAGCTCTGCAGCCCCCCAAGCAAAGCAGGGCCTTGGTCACAAAGGTGCTGAGGCCACAGGCACGGCAGAGAAGGGAGCTGGTGTTACAGAGAGAAAAATGGGCAGAGCAGGAGGGAGGAGAAGGGGTGCCTGGACCACAGAGCAGGTCAGAGCTGGGAATTAGAAATCTGTTCCAGGTTCCCACTCCTCTGGTTGGGCCACAGCTTGCTCCAAACACTAAATCTCTGCATTGGTTGGGGGCTCCCTCCAACCCCACCCTGGCAGCTCTGCTGAGCGCTGCAGCGTGCCAGCCGGCCAGCCCCGGGGCTCCACCAACCCTCAGCCACAGCATTTGCTGAGCCCCAGGGCGCAGAGCTGGCAGCTCCACCTCGTACCCGTCCCTCCCTTCTCGCCAAGGCTGGGGGCAACCAGCCCCTCTGTGGGCAACAGCCCAGGGCTCGCTGCCCCTCGTGGCAGTGGGATGCTGGTGGGATGGACTGGGTACACAGCTGTCTACACAGCTGGAGGGTGATGGGTTCCATGGATGGACGGGGCTGGTCATGCGGTGGAGATGAGATGGGCTGCTCGAGTGGATGACGGGGAGAAGAAAGCTCTTTCTTACCAGCTAACCCTCAGAAAGCAGGGCTAACGTCCAAGGAGGGGGCAAATCCCGTCAGGCTGTGCAGGAAATGGCAAAGTCCTGGCAGGCATCCTCCTGGGGAAGACACCAGAGATTATGCACCTCAAAGACTTGCCGGTAGTGGGCTGGGTTAGAGGTGGGGAACCCCAGATCCTGGCACAGCCCCGGACCGAGCAGGATGGGTGGGGAAAGGACTCTGCGGTGGCAGCTTCGGCAGGAAGGGGACCAGGGAGTGGAGGAGACCCTGCCCAGCCTGGAGAGGTGGGACGGAAAAATCCCTTCGCTCCAGCAAGAGTCACAGCAGCACCAGTTGGTTGCTCAGCAGCCCTCGTAGCCCCATCCTGCAGGAGGTTCCCAGAGCTTCCAGGCAAGGGCTGGGCCTCATAAAGAGTCCAACGGCCACCTGATACATCTTAAACACCGAGACACCTGCCCTCTTCTGTCTTAAGGGAATAAAATAATCATCCAAGCAATTAAATCTTTAAAAATATAATTTTATTATATCGAGTAACAAAGGAAACCAGTTTAAATAAAAACAGGAGTTTGGCCCCTGGTAACACCCCCAACACTGCTCCTCACTCTGCAGCACCAGACCCTCTCAGCACAGCTCGGCTCGCCCCGGCCCCACGCCTCCCCGGGAAGGTCCTCGAAGGCAGGGACAAGGACCCTGGGGACATCCCTGTGGGAGCAGCAGGGAGGGAAGGGCAGGGTGGCCTCTCGGGGTGCAACTTGGGCATGGCCCGAAGCTGCAGGGCTGGGACGACGGGCAAAACAGCACCGGGAGCCTCCCCGGGCGGTGAGGGCCATCTGCCGGGATCCGGTAGAAATTCAGCAGCCGCCACCGTGCTCTCACCCGGGCTCTGGGCCAGGGGGAAGGTAGAGCCGGTGGCCACAGCAAACAAGCACCAAGATCTCCGTGCAGCCAGCCAGAAATGCAAGGCCAGGGGAAACCTGCGCCTCGGCCGTCGCCCGGCGTGCCCCGAAGCTGTGCGCAGTCGCTCGCGGCGTGCAAAGCACGACGCCGGTGAATTCGGTGGGGACGGGCCGCCCCCAGAAACGCGCTGCCTCTGCCTGAGGTTGAAATACACGTGTCTGACCCAGGGAAACCTAACCAGGTTAGGTTTGACACAAAACGCTGCCAGCCTCTGCCCTGGTGCTAACATGCACAACACTACCTGCACTGATTATAAAAGGATCTACATTAAAAAAAAAAAAAAAAAAAATCAAATCAAATCTACAAATTGTGCAAAAATATCCAGCAGCTTTTAATAACATGATTCAAGTATTGCTAACAAGGTCCGTGACTCTCCCCTGCGTGCACTCGAGTGTCGGTGACGTGGAGCTGGCTGCCCAGCCCGGCCCTCCTGTGCCTCCACGGGCACGGAGCGATGCCCACGGGTGAGCCCGGGCACACGGGGATCGCTCCCGAGGCGCTGGGGACAGCCCTGCTCTCGTCTGCCTGCCAGAAACCCAAACCAAGAGCACAAACGTGAGGTTATCAGACACCAGCACCCACTCACTGCTTTTCCTCTGTGAAATTCCACCTGGGGAGGGGGTCACCCTCAGGAATTCACACACTTTTCTGTTGCTTTTTGGTCTCCTACAGGCAGGACGTAACCAGGCTTTCCTAGCAAGCTAAGATTCCCTTACAGTTCTAGCCTTGCCAACCACCATCTCATGACATGAGCCACAGAACACTGCGTGTTTCTTCTTCCCCATTAAAAGGGGGGGGCATCCTAACTTGTGTCCTCGCTGCAGATCGTTGTCTTACTGACTGGCAGGGCCAAAACACAAAGAGCTCTTCAGCACCCCCTCAGTGACCAGCCAGAAAATAGGACCAACAGCAGCTGGGACATCTAGCTAGCCAAGACTCCTCCCAGCTGAACAGCCCCAACTTACCAAGGCACAGCAGCTTCTGGAAAAGAAAAGCTGCTCCGGCAGCAGCCGAGGTGAGAACCCGGCCATTAAGAGACAGAACATCCCTTCCACGTGGGCAGAGGGGAGCCGGGCATGTTCACGGAGATGTCGGGGAACAGCCCAGAAGATGAGGTGCGACAGCCCAGCTCCGAGTGGGAACCATTTGCCAGTCCCCACCTCCCACCCTTGGTCCACCTCGTTACTCCAGGCAGGGAACACAGCGAGCCCCCGGAGCAGCCGCTCCGGGCTCAGAGGTCTGGTGCCTCCCCAGACCTATTTTTTGCTTCCCAGTTGCAGCAGGGACCTCCTGCTTTCTGCACGAGTCCGAGGGTCTTGCATGCTGTTGGGCTTTCTCAGGTGAAAGTCCAGACAGCCCACATCACAGTGAAACAAATAAAAAATAATAAATAAATTAAAAAAAAAAAAAAAAAGGCAACGTATGGCTCGACTGAGTCTTTCACAGCTCTGCATCACAGGGCTGTCCCGCCTGAGGCCAGGGAGATGGTGAGAGGGGAAAGTTCTGGCTGGAGCGAGGTGCAGGCACAGAAGGCACTGGGCTACATCACAGCACTGCTAGGGAATGCCTCCTACCATGCTGGTGTCAGTTTTGGCTCCAAAGGAAGGGATTTCGCTCTTCGGACTGGATGGGGTCCCGACATCTGGCTGGATAAATCCTCTTCTGTCTATCAAACTGGAAAACAGAAAGGGAAGGGGGCAAGGGGAGAGAAGTCGAGGAAATGAAGGTTCCGGGAAGATGGGAGCTCGCAGACCACAGAGGGCTCTCCTTGTGGGAACTGCTAACCAAAGCGTCGGCAGGAGCGCGCTGGGTAACAGCTTCCTGCCCATTAGACAAACCACAGACTTATCACACAACCCACCAAACAGCCTTTAGGCAGTTAAAGCTTTGGGTCACCGCAAACCCGAATGGGAACTGGCGAAAAGGCTTCACAACAGGAAAACAACACAAACGAGGAGAGAGCTGGAGGAAAGCATTATTCTCCCCAGAGCCTCCCAGCAAACAGCTCGGCTCCCTGCATCCGCAGATTTGCCATCTCAGAATGGCAGCACTGGCATTTCGGCACCTCCGAATCCAACAGAAACCTGGGGGCACTTTAGAGAGCAGGGCCAGGTGTACGTGTAAAACACTGACTCCAGCTGCACAGCCTCAGACACCCTCCCCTGCCCTTGTGTTACACCGAGTTCACATCTCTGAGACGCTCCACATAAATCCAGGCCGGATCCAGTGAATAAATTTGGCTCGAGGATCCCCATCTCCCATGACACCGGCCTGACTCTGCCCAATTGCACCCTCTTGTGACAAAGCAGCGATAATCCTGTGCTGCAGGTACCCGTGCTTCAGGCCCAGCACTTCCCTACATCTTCAGCAATCTGCCTTTGCCCTTGCTTTAACATCAGTTCTGGTTAACTCGCAGGTTAAGAGCGTTTGGTAGGATGATACTACGTGTTTCAGGGAATGGAGGTGCTGGTAAAACCCAAGGGATCCGCGCTGCCCCATGCGGATCTCTGCTGGCTGCTTGCCATGATGCTTGATCCTGACTACAGGAGGAAAAACAAGAAGCCCTACCACTTCTGGTATTTACCATGTGCTGCCGAGCCCCGTGGTGCTGTTACTCTCCCCTTATTGAATTGCAGGATGTGTCTTATCTGCAAGCTCCATGAAACAATTACAAGTGACCCAAACTCGTCAAGCTCAAACATAGGAGAAGCAACAGTTATATCTCTTACTTATACATGTCTCCAGCTTTTCTCTGCAGAGATGGGGAAACTGTTCCCTCATCATCACTGAAGTAGATGTGTTTGCGCCGAGGCAGTCTTCCCCGAGTTGTGATAAACCTGTCCTTTCCGAGGCCCCTCTCACACAGCAGGATGCAATTCCCAACACCGTGGGAGGTCAAAGGCTCTTACCTGGGATGGAATGGTCCGCACAGCACTGCACAGCAGTTTGTGAGGATACTTTTATGGCTGTAGGGATTGGCAAACTCCGAGCCCCTCTTATTGGACCAGGACCCTTTGATCTGAAAGGGAAAGGATACAGGCGGATTAAGATAGGAAAGACGTGATAGCAGATCATTACACCATAACGGACTCGGTTCAAATCCTTGCTGAAGAGGTGGAAGGCTTGCCTTACTGCAAACGTCCTCCCTCTCTTTGCTTTAACAGGCAGGATGGCTGCAGAAAGGCAGCCAGAGGAGACAGCGACATGCTGCTCCGGCCTCTGCCGAGGTTCAACCTTGCAGCTAGAAGGCTCTGAAGCTGTGCCCTTCGCCGTGCCGCACGGCAACTTGTCAGTGTAACCATCTTCAACGCCAGCCTCCTCCTCCTCCTCCCCTTTTCTCTCCTAGGCTGAAAGCTCATGGGAGCAGGGCTCTAGCTCACGGTCCCTCCTGGGCTCCTCAGGCTGAACAAACAGCAAGGGGATTCCCAGGCCATGCTGCAACGGGAGGACACAATGTCATCTGTCCCCACCCTGAGCAGCTGCCACTGGGACTCTGATTTCGAAACCCCGGTCACATCAAGCGTAGGCACACACGAGTGGGCAGATGCTATACCTGGCTTCAGGCCCCTGGCTGCAGCGAACCATTTGCTATTACATTTCCTCCTTTTGTTTTTACTTCCTCTCCCCAGCTGCAGCATAAGGCTGGCAACGTGGGCAAGGCAGCCAGGGAGGCAACGGGCCATGGGATTTGGACCTGGTGGTCTCAGTGCTGGGGGGGGGGGTCACCTCCAACAGCCTCACTCACACGGCCCTGGGCAGTTCTGCCAACAACGCTGAACATAACAGGAAGGTGGAGAGGAAAAAGTGGAGGGGAGAGAGGAAAAAAAACAAAACAAAACAAAACAAACAAAGATGCAAACATTCCTTCTGCAGTGCTGGAAGTTTCCAGCACGGATAACAGGTATTTCTGGCCAGGAGGGTGAATTCTGATTCCTTCTGAGGATCAGACAGATCCTGCTTTTCCATACAACCTGCCCTGCTCAGGGTACTTGTTTGGCCCTTGGAGTCTGCACGCACCCTGGGCTTTGAGGTAAATCTCATCGGGAGATGTCTGCACATTATTTGCCTATTAGACATGAGGAACTGATAGAGACAAAGGGACTTGCCCAGGGTCTCAGAGGAAACCTGTGGTTATGTGGGATGCTGAATTAAGATCACCCATGTCCCAGGCTAACACCCAAATACATCTCTGGGGCCAGCCTTCCTTTTTTTTAACCTCAGAACTCCTAATTTTAAGCAAGGCCACATACAGACTGGAAAAAACACACACGTGACCTTTCTAAAATTTCAGCGTGTGACCCCCACAGCCTGACACTGCCAAGCAACACGTGTTGCACAGTCCCCTGCTGCTGCGTGCTGCTTTCCGACCGCTCAGCCACCTGAAGCTACAGTCTAAATCCCCTGGGCTCGGGCCGTTGGCTTTGCAGTGGGTTATCCCAGGCAGTGCAGGCAGCATGCCTTCCCAAGGCACTGAGGCAGGCAGACAAGGATCCCCTGAAAACCTCACTGCTGCTTAGGAAGGACCATGGCCAGCCCTGCAGAAGGACAAGAGTCCGGGTACTTACATCTTCGTTTGTTGTCAGGTTGGAGGCGACCAAGTAAGTGTGAAAACCTGAGAGGCCCAAAATAGACCAGACTGAGAAAAAACAAATCACCAGCTCCAGCACAGTGAAGCGAAAGTCAAGGAAGTGTCAGAGAACAAGATCGTCCTGCACGGAGAGGCAGAGGGCTGTTTTGGGAGGTGTGTGCTGCGACTGCACACAGTGGGCCACGAGAACATCCCAGCAAACTGCCCATTCCCTGGGCCCTTCTACGGGCATCCACCAAGGCACAGCCTGCTCCAACCACTTCCCTCTCCACGTCAACTTGTAAACCGAGAAACAAGTTTGTCCCCCACCCTTAGTCCCTGATGGTGAACTGAAGGTCTTCCCAGTTTGGTGATGTTATCAGTCTACAGATGAAGAGATGCCTGCCTGCCCCAACCAGGTAGCTAAGGGGCTAAATTAACTTGTGGGAAGTACACCAGGGTGGTGTATTGCTACGAATTGCTCATTACACCTCTCTGTTACATGGTCAGTGGTGCTGCACCAGCGCTCGACAGTCGGAGCAGCTGATGGCATCAGAAGGATATCTCGCTGGTGTGGTCTTCAGAGTGGCGAGGAACCCATCTCTCTGAGAGCCTGCAAAGCAAAACGGGACAAGGAACGACATCCCATCAGGCAGCCTCGCATCTCCAGCCAACGCTTCGCTCCCGAGCACGCAGCCACCCCTCTGTGGGCCACATGGATCTGCCCGGCTGCCTGAGAAACACCTACAGCCTGTAACTTTACAGAAACATCAGCCCGCAGACACAGCTCCAGGATGTTTGGGGCTGAGGGGCAAGTCACCTTCCCTGCTAGGCTCAGAGCAGAGGCACCCACAGCTCATTTGCTCTGGGTGGGGATAACCCACTCACCAGGTGTCCAGGTCTCTGCAGCGAGGTGCAGGGTAGATCTGTGGTTCCCCGCAGTCTGAGACCCCGTTTATTCAGGCTGAAAAGCCTGGTGGAAGCCAACCAGACCCCTCCCTCGCTCTGTCCAACACAAACAGTGGCCCCAGTGCTGCTCCAAGTCCTCTGTGGCCAGGAGCACAGCACACACCGCTGCTTACGCACGGTACTTACGCAGAGTGAGGTGGGTGACGACGCAAGCGAAGATGAAGGCTGTCAGGAAGGAGAGGGAGAGGATGAAGGCATAGAAGTAGCGATAGTTGCGCTTTCCCACGCAGTTGCCCACCCAGGGGCAGTGGTGATCAAACCTCTCTGAAACAAAGGGACACGGTGAGGGCTCCTGCCACCTTGCACCCCGTAACAGAGCAGACGCTGCTGAGCCTCTGAAAACCAGGGGCTACAAATTGAGCTTCCACCCACCACCCTGAGACCAGAACCCCTCCGCAGCAGTACATCAGCAGCAAGTTTCAGCAGACCTGTTCACATGCCCTTTTTTATCACCAAACCGTTCCTCTCACTAAACCCTGTGTAAGTACAAGCCTTGTGACTGGTAACATCCACCACTAGTAAAACTGAAAGAGAGCAGGGAAAGCACGGCAGCTTTTCCAGTACCTAGCAGCGCTGGGTGTGTGTACACAGCATCGCTGCTCCCTTTCTGCGTGTCAGCTTCCCCTGCCTTCTTCGGGACAGAAAAGAATTTTCAAAGTTATAAAGATACGCCTCTAAAACCACAGAAACTGCCTGGAAACCCAGGGCAGGTGCAATATATTTGGAAACACTCCCGACTGCCTTCTAATGAAAGGTTTCAGACTAACAGGACTGCGGTAAGCGTTCTGCGGGGGACACCAGTGCAAACAAAACCCACCGCACACAAAGCAGGCGCATGCCTGCTCCCCCGGACGGCTCCTCTTCAAACGCTGCTTTCCAGCGAGCCGTTGCAGCGTAAGGAGGAGTCACAGCCACCCACGGTTATCCCCCAACACATAATACTTGGCAACTCCCAAACTCCTTCTCTTCAGCAGAGCTCTGGGGTCCTGCGACCGCTCGCGGGTCGGCCGCTCCTCAAGCTGCCCCGGCAGACAGCGTAAAGCACAGCTTCCACATCCACGCGATGCACAACCAGGAGCAGCTGCACAAGGAGTAAACTCTCCGGGCCTGCCCCTAAATCACATGCCACGCTGCTGCTGGTTCAAGCTGCCCCGGCGCAGGCAGGCTGCGGTGGGAACCTCCCTGCCCACCCCCCTGCAGCTGCCCCACGCCTGCGTGCAGCCAGCAGAGGCTTTCCTTCAGGTCTTTGTTCATTCCCTCCTGCCCCACCACACTCCGAGGGCACGAGGAGAGGCCACGGAAAAGCTCAGTCAGCATCTATGGGGGTGTCTGGTGACAGCAAGGACACAGACAGCAAGGAGCCTGCAGCAAACCTCCTGTTTGGCAGAGGCATTTCACAGCACCGTCCTCCCAGAACCAGGGAGAGCAGAGACACGGAGTCTTGGGCATGCTGCCCCCCTGCCCTGAGCCACTGCGCTGGTGTTGCTTTCATTTTAAATGGGAAGGAGACAGACCACTCTGTATCTCGCTTTATAATCCTTTACCAGAAGCAAAAGCAATCTGTCCTGGAACATAACACCCCCCCCCTCAAGATCTCAGCACCTTTCCACTTTCTGGGCTTACCGACACAGTTGTCGCAGACACTGCAGTGAGAGGTGCGTGGAGGGCGGAACATTTTGCAGGTGTAGCAGTACTTGAGCTTCACCACATACTTGTTTATGACCACTTCCATCGTGCGGGCTGGCGGGCGATAGGTAGAGGTACCCATGCTGTCTGCGAGGGCAAGGAGGGACGGTCAAACTGGTGCAGGGGAAACCCAAGCCCCTGTAACACCCCGAGCTGCTCTCTGCCAGGGTAAGGGATTGGCACGTGCTCTCCTGATTTTAAGAGAAAGCTAAGAGGCAGCTCAGCCTACAGGATTTGTTGCAGGGTGGGCAGCCGGGAACTCCAGTCAGCTCCTCGCAGCATTATTTATGTCTTTTCCTTGCCTGTTCAATGGCAATGCTGCTGGGATGCCAAGAGGAAGTAATATCTGCCCAGTGCTTTGAGAACATAAAGCAATTTATAAATAGCGAGCACAAAAGCAGCAGTGTTAACGTGCCCAACTCATCTCTTCGTGTCTAATGGATCACAACACAGGGAGGCAACATCATCTGTCAACGCACGTGTGGTTCCTCCTCTGCTGTAAGCATCCAAGTTGCAGGAATCAGGGCAACCTCAGCAGGAGCATCCCCCAGCACACAACTTGCCAACTCGCAGCTGGAGCCAGCGGCACCGCCGGGCTCAGGAGACTCATCTCCATCCCAGCGGGGGAGGACAGCGAGTGCTCCAGGCAGATTTCATTGAAATCTGACATGAGTATTTTAGTAGCACAAGAGGATTCCTCCTCCCCTCAAGGTCGAAATTGATGATTTTTAGGGACACCGCAAGTTACAGCTGTGCGTGCTGGCGCTTCATTATTCTCTGGGGACTGGCAGCTGGGGACTTTGCTCAGCAAAAGCACGAGCTGGAAAACCTCTGCATCACGTTTGTAATTTTGGGGGTTATTCCTTCATTTTAGTCCCTCTTAAAAGAGCACCTTTCCAACTCTGAGCAAGTCTTTGAAAATAGAGATGTAACAGCAAGCATGTTAAAAGGATAAGTGAATTATATTAACAGTAACAGCTGGCACATCAGGCAGCATCTGCAGCCAGATTACTGCTTTAGGCACTTAGAAACATGGATAACCACTCTGAGGATATTTTAAAACCATATTTTTAGTCAGATGCAGAATTACTGCCTTGCAACTGTCTCCAGTGAGGCAGATTCAAGCTGTCTCACATTAGCTTTGCTAAAGCATTTGTTACGACAGGTCACATCAACAAGGTCCACAGATCCTGGATGCATACACCTCCTTGGCCACCTCCAAAACAGTGTGACATAGCAGTTTTTAGATGGGGACAAATATTAGCATACTGTTAGAAACCATTATAATAAAGAAAACCTTGCAGCACAGCAGGCTCAACGGCAAATCTTAAAAAGCATTCACGCCTAAATTCATGATCCTATGTCCTCAGCACGCATATTTTGCAGAAGGTGGTACAGGGTCAGATTCCTCCGAGCTTGGACAACATTCGAACTAACTAAAGAGCAGCACAGGCACTCTCGCCTCACCCTCAAGAGCCTGGCAGGGTGATTCTGGAGGGGGACTTTGTGCTCCCCCAGCTGCTGGTTCGCAGTCCCTAACAGTGTTCACGTTTAGGACACTGATGTCCCAAGCTCTCCCTCCCCTGAGCTCTGCATGGGGCCATGACCCTCTCAGGTGTCGTCCTGAGGGCAGAAACAGGCACAGCCCTGACTCACCGTACACGGCTTTGCCTGGGAAAGTGACGGGGCTGAACAGAAAGGAAAACCACCTCTGCTTCTTTGCAGATCCCCTCTCTGACGTGCTGCCTGCTGTGCTTGTCGCACCTCTCTCACTGGGACTCATAAGACACTGTCAAGCCTCACAATCTGATACTCTGGCCTCTTCTCCCCCCCTGGACAACTGGTGAGGGGTAAAGACCAAAAGGAGACTTGCTGAGCCTGAAATGCACGTGCACGCACACGCACAGAGGCGTGCACTGGACCCAACACAGGAGAGGGAACAGAATTCTCACCAATCCGCTTTTCCAGGTCTGCAGCCTCACTTGGGGTGGCTCTGGGCAGGATACCTGGGTCTCTGAAGCTTGTCTGGAGCAGGCAGCTGATGACAAATAAGAAGAGGATGGCTGCAATGATGGGGATGGCCAGCGTCAGGTGACTGGCAAGGAAGGGGCAGCTGTTAAAAGAAAAGAAAAATTGCATCGTTACCTACCATCGCTACAGAACTGGCCATCAGCTGTGACACTACACGCTGTGGACTATCACAGGGCAGTGGGCTGAAGTGCTGCTGCTTTTCAGAGACTTCTGGAACAGCAAGGGCCTGCTCAGAAAACACGAGTGGCACTGGGACATCAGAGTGCCTTTGGCACGAAGATGGCAGCCCCTGTGCACAACCTCTTTGCCCTTCTGGAGTCTCAGAATTGAATTTCAAAAACCTGCCGGCTGCCCCAAAGTCCGATCACCTTCTACAACAGCAGCATCAAGAACAGATAAAGAAACACCCTGAGCTAATCAGGGATCAAAATCGGGGTGAACACGATCCCATTTGGTCCAACACGTGAAGCAGAGGGGGGAACTTGGCTTCGATTCCACACAGCTTTGCTGTCTCTGGATGACTCGTGTGTCCTTCATGGGGTGCCAGATGTTTGGATGGGGATGCCTTCCAGCACTGGCACCGCTGGGACAAGCCACCAGGCATTAAAACCGATGCTGTCTGCTCCTGGGCTTGCTGTGCTATGACCCGGGGCTGTTTCTCTACAGATGGGGACCAGTGCAATTGCACTCCACGTCAGGGCAGCTCCGCTACTTGTGGTGCGACAGGAGAAGACGGCTGAGGAACAGCTTTGCACGGCGCAGTGCCGGAGACCCTCCCGTCCCTCGCTTTGCAGAGGGGTTTGCTATTATCTGCACTGATAAGCAGCCAGAGCCGAGCACAGACAGGCGAGCTGCTCGAGCCCTGGTGTCTGCGGGCAGCGCTAAGTCCCACTAACGCTTTGAGGCAGTTTGAGAGGATTAAGTAACTTTTGTTTCAACTCCCAAGCTCAGCTGTCCAGAACAAAGCAGCCACCAAGCAACAAAACCCCTTCGGCCTGAGACCGGTGCTGCTGCCAAGCCCCTCAGTTGTCTCCCTGACAGAGGGACAGAAAAGTCTCTGAAATGAGAGATGTGAGATTTGTTGCCACTTTTTTTCCAGGAGAATCTCTGGACCCCGCTTTCTGCCATCACACAACAAGAAATTGCATTTAAAAAAAATAATAAAAAAAAAAAAGTGAACTGTACACATATGCAAGATGTATTTGCTATCCATGTAGCAAACCATAACCCATGCAACAGAAGCACGCTACTAAAATAACAACTTGGAAAGCCCCAGGGCATCTTCAACCAAGAAAGAGTGACTAGGCAATAAGGGAGGGGAGAGCAGATGTCCTGTGCTCAGCCCAGTACAAAGCAGTTACTGTGCTAGTGCTGCCCATTAGTTTCAGATACAGCAGAGAAAGCTGTCAAAGAAGCACAAGCGATGCTAAGAAAGGAGTTCTTGCGTTGGGATGCCGTTCCTGCCTCCCACAGCTGCCTGCCCCTTTCAGCTCATCTGAGTTCTCAGAACCTCTAATCCGATCAAATACCTTCATCTCCCCGCCAGCAGGCTTGGGCAGCTTTACTCTGAGACTCACAGAGATAACACCGTGATCCCAAGGCAGGCATGACTCCCCCCACCCCCCCTCTTCGTACAGCGGCAGGAAAAACAAACTCCCTTCCCTCCTGAGACAGAAACGCAGAGGCAGGCCAGCAGAAGCTCCCAAAGGTGTCAACAACCAGCAGTGCTCCTTCCCAGGCAGTGCAGGACATAACGGGGTGCTCTTGGCTCTCCCCTCCCTCGGGGCACAGGAGCGGGAAGTCCCCCCGAGCCAGCTTTCCTAAAGCAAAGGGGACTGGGATAGACGCAGCTCCCTCTTCCCCCGACACCACTGCACAGTGGGAGCGGAGCTCCGGTGCCGACCCTCAAGGTGGGACCCCAAACGATTTCACCATTTATCAAGCACCTTTCACAGAAATACTGTTCCTGCTGCCTCTGGGGACAAAGTCACAGGTCTTGGGGGTTTCCTGGCTGGACCAGTTCTCTCTTCTGCAGCAGGAGGAGAGACTGAGGGGCATTTAGAGACCAGGAAGAGATCCCAGGAGAATGTTAAACCCCTGCCCGGGGCCAGATTGAGTAAAGAGGGCCCGGGGGCACCCCTGCCCCCCCATAAACACACCCGGGGACAGGCAAAGGGGACGCAGAGGCTGCCCACAAAGTGGGTCTGGGGGCTGTGCTGAGGGGTAATAGTTTATGGTGGGGAGAAAGGAACGACATTTGGGCTCCCACGGCGGTGGGGGAGGGGGGGTGGCAAGGAAGAGATGTGACCCCCCCCCCAGCCCACCTCCCTCCCACCACAAGCTCCCCCCCAAAAGGAGGGGGCTTAAAGGAGGGGACCAAAAGCTGTTCAGAGCCCCGAGTGGGGAACGATCCGAAGGAAAAACCCCACACGGCTCTACCCCGGCAGGGATAGAGCCTGATCGCGGGGGGGTGGGTCCCGGGGCCCCCAGGGCAGGGGGGACACCAGAAGGACCCCCAGCAGCGGAGAGGGGGACACCGCAGAGCCCCGCAGGCCCCGGGGCGGTGCCCGGAGCCCCCGGCCCGGCAGCAGGGACTCACTCAAAGGCGAAGAAGAGGCCGCTGGTCGCCAGGATGAGGCCGAGGGTGAGAGCGAAGACGCCGCTGTGCCGCGCCAGCATGAGGCGGCCGCCGCAGTAGAAGCGGTTGCGGCCCGGGAACACCTCCCACTTCCGCCGGGGCCGCCGGGCCGCGCCGGCTCGCTCCGGGCCGGCGGCCGGTTGAGGTAAGGAGAGAACCGCGCCCGGCCCGGGAGCCGCTGCCCCGGGCGGGATCTGCCGGTACTCGCACTCCTTCATGGCGCCGCAGCGCCCGGCCCGGCCCCGCCGCTCGCCCGGCGGACGTGTCGGCCCCGCCCCTCCCTATAGCCCCGCCCCCATAGCCCCGCCCCATCCGCGCCCCGCCCCTCTATATAACACCGCTCCTCAGCGTCCCGCCCCTCTCCATATGGCACCGCCCCCTCAGCACTCCGCCCCGCCCCTCCCCATTTGCCCCGCCCCGCCCCATATAACCCCGCCCCTCCTCGTGGACCCCGCCCCCTCAGCACCGCGCCCCCTGCCGGCCGCGCCCGGCGCCGCCCCCCCCCCGCCCAACGGGAGCAGCCCCGGGGGCGCGGGGTGACCCCCCCCTCCCCCGGCAAATTATACACGTTTATTGGGGACGTGGTTGTGCCCAGTGACCGGCTGCCGCCAGCCTTTGGAAGAGAAGGAACCGCGAAGGGGCGAGGGGCTCCCCGCAACGCAGCAGGGTCCTTCCTGCCAGAGACGGTGGCGTCGAGGACGCTTCCCGGAGGCTTCCCGAGAATCTGACGGACACGGATCCTCACCATAAATAGCTGCTCAGCAGCAATGCTCCCCCCCCCAGAAGATGGAGGAACCGGGATGCATTCCCCATCCCTGGCGGCTTACAGGAATTCTGGCTGTCAGCACTGACAGCAGAGACAGGCAGGGTGCTGTAGCATCACAGCTCTGTACATACGTAGTAACTCAGGAGTAACGCCTTTGTTACCGAGACCGCAGCACCATTACATACACGTCAGGCTTTTTAGAAAAAATGAGGTTCAATTCTGAGCAGTGCTCCTGCCCCGCGACCCGTCTGTACCAACCCAGACCCTCACTACGTCCACGGCAAGAAGTTGCAGTGCAGAATCAGGCCCAGCAGCCAGTAGGACAGGAAAAATCCGAGAATGCACTTGCTGAGGGGGGTGATTAATCTACACTTCAGCAGCAGCCTCACAACAGGGTTTTCCAAAGTTCCTTTCCTGCAGGATCCAGCAGATTTACCTAGAAGAGACTTCTCAGGGCGAGGTGCTGCCGTTTGATCATCAGTCCCTTCGCTCCAGAGTAAAGGTTCGTGCTCTTGAAGCAGGTGAGCGGAGAACCAGTACGGGATGGGAGAGCAGGAGCCAAGCAACCGGGTCAGCACCTGAGGGTGACAGGCAGAGCAAAAAGCACCTAAATCGCACGTTTCCAGCTGTGACCAACCCCGATCCCGAGGCACGGAAAGAAACACTGATCTGCCTCAAACGGTCTGCTGATAAAGGGGACTGAAATACGGCCCCAGCTGATGGTGCTAGGATTTATTACATTGAAATGAAACACCTCTCAGCTCAACCTGCTTTATTTATTACATTTGCGTACGCAGTCAAGCGGTCCCCAAGTTTTGGACAAGCACAGTAACTAATTGTCACCATCTCGCTGAAATCCTTGTCACCGGCCAGCTCAGGAGCTGGGGGTGATTTGAATCTTGCTCTTCAATTATCTTTTCACTGGAACTCCCAACCTTTAGTGCCACTAGCTGTGTCCTAAAAAGACCTCCAAACACTTTAGTCTAGAGACCGGTGACAGGCTCTGGATCCTTTCATTGCCATCCACTAAGCTCAGCCCAACATGGTAATGATCCGGGATCCTTGTCCTGTGGCAGCTGATTAGCAGGGCTTGGCAAGCCTGGCCTTAAGCACACGTTAAACGTGACCTAACATCAGCCCGACCCTTTGACGCCCGTTCCAGTGTCCTCATCACACTGAGCAAGCTCTCTTTGGGAGCTCTCCAGCTGAGCTTTGGGAACTAACTGGCTTTGGGAAATCTCTGTGGAAGCAGCTCTGAAAGAGGAACGGCAAAGCTTTTGGTTGGCATTGCCCCGTGCTGGCCAGCAGCTGGGACAGCTTCAGGCTGTGACCATCACTGCTCAGCCACCACGCTGCATTCCCCTTAGGAAATCACTCCTGGGTGTTGCTGTGAATGTCCTACCTGCACGTGCATGCAGAAGAATCCTAACGCCAGCACGACCGTGGCATGGACCACATAGACGAAGACACCAGGGCAGCAAAATCCAGCTCTTGGTTTACCCTCTTCTTCACTCTTTCTTCTCTCTAGACCAAGAGTCAGGCAGTGCTGGGGGTTTGCAATGACATAGGTCCAGGCAGCCCATGAGCCCAGAAGCGTGACAGGCAAAGCAAGCAAGAAATGTGGTATCTGTCTGAGCTCAAAATACCTTAGAAAGCCCACATTCCAGTAAGTGTCTTGAATATAGGAATAGACCACGGGGAATTGCCGGGAGCACCAAGGGGGTTTAACCCCGCTCCTGCCCACCGGACGATAGCCCTTGGCCAGAGCCAGCTGCAGCAGCGGCTCAGGAACAGTCCGCTCCAGGCCAGTGCCAGGCCCACAGAACCTCACGTAGGCATAATACTGAAATAAAGCAAAAGGTAGAAAAATCCCGGCACACATCAGAACCGCTGAAGATGTCACGCTAAGGAGTTGCTTCCACAATGGAGGGAGCTTCCTTACTGATCCTGAACCCACCTGGAGCTGGAGGGCAAAGCATTTACCGTGGGAGTAGAGAATGAAGCCAGCATTAATAAGCCCGTTGGCACGCACCCCAGAAGCGAGGGAGAACAGCAGCCCACCGAGCCAGCTCTGCCCCTTCTCCAGTTGCCACATGGCACTGAATGCCAGGAAGGCAAACATGCTCTCGGAGTAAGCGGCTGCCATGAACACGTTGGCAGGACTGACAGAAAAGAGAACGGCAGCAAGGAAAGCCACCCTGCGACGCTGCAGCACGAGGCAGCCCAGCTGATACAGGGCAGCGGCTGCCAGGGCGGAAAAGAGAGAATTCAGAAGAATGGCTGAGAGCAGGAGGCGGCTCCGCAAACGCAGCAGCCGCTGCAAGGGCCACAGAGCAGCCTCGGCCACGGCACGCACGCTCAGGGGGTAGAGCGGGAAGAAGGCGCAGTTGTGCTCGTACAGGTAACCACGCTCGGCGATGAAGAGGAAGTGCTCGGCATCCCAGCGTGAGAGGCCGCCCAGCAGCCGCTCCAGGAGCAGGTCCCACAGGCCGGGCTCGGAGAGGCGAGGGGGAGAAAAGGCGTCTGCAGCGTGATCTGGGATCAGGAGGTTAAAGAGAGCCTGGAAAAACAAGAGAGGATTGAAGTCCAGCAGACATCGTCTTGCACCCGACCCAAAGCACCAAGCAGGAGGACTCCTGGGTTTCAAAGGAGACAAAAGCAGCACAGAAGCTGAAGGGCTTTGCAGCAAGGAGGCCTGTAAGACTGCGGAAAGGTGCAAACACCATCTTCTGAGGCATTTACACCTGAACGGGCTAAAGCTCTGGAACACAGCCAGCATGAATCCCCACAGAACTGGACCGGGAAAGCTGCTCAGCCCCATGCTCAGGCACATCTAACTGCGTACGCTCACACGGAGTACCTCTGCAGCACAGGTAAGCATCCCGCTCTACTGAATTCCCAGCTGACACACAAGGGAGAAGAAACAGAACTAGCGAAAAAGATTTTTCCAGAGCAAACTGGTGCAGAAGACAGCAGCCAATTTCCAGGCCCCCTCTCTAGATCTCCATTACCTCTGCAGCTCGGCATGCATTAAGGGGTTTGTTTTTCAGAGATGAGCAAGCAGAATGCACACACCTCTGCCTCCAGGAGCTTGTGGTGCTGACTACATTTTAAAAGGTGAGAGAAAACCCCAGAAAGTTCATGAGACAGGCAGTATGCAACTTACTGCATTGTAATGTAATTCCAAATGAAAATATGTTTAAAAAAAAAACAAACCTAAAACCTCAGATGGTGAGTTTTAGTGGCTTAACTACGTGTAGATTGGGATGAGTCCCCCGCAATGAATTCAGCGTTGGCAGAGAAAAGAGAAGAGGCCACACTGAACAAATTGGGACTAAAAGACATACAAAGCCGCCGTTTTGCCATGAAGCACACATCTGGTCTAACCCAGGCCTCTGGCATTTGTAATACGGAGTCTTTCATCTCAGCTGATGGTTCCACTCAGCCTCAGCCAGCGGTGACCGGGGCTGCCACAACGTGCCAGCTGGCTGCTGGCCTGCTGCCGAAGAGCTTTCTCAGGCTGATTTTGTTTCAGGAGGGCCATGGCTACAGCTAGACTGTGCTGGCTGTTTCAGTATGCACAGGTAGGATGGAGGGAGCAACCAAACCCTCCCATGCTCAGAGAAGGACGTCTCTGGAAACGAGACTTGGGAGGAATGTGTGGGAAGAGTTTATTGTTCCTCTTCTGTGGATAAAGAGAGACTTCAGCCCCTCATGCTGCCAAACCAGCCTCTTGCAACAGCAGCGTGAAAACATGGCAAGTTGCAAGGAAATGTGTGTAATTTTACTTAACAGCAACCTGCCTCCCTGGATGCAGCTGGTCTGTTGGTTCTCCAAAGGAGAAGACGATTTCCCAGTCAAGCAGAACCAGCTAGCTCGCGGTGCGCAAGGCAGCACCACGCAGAGAAGCCTTGGAGCAGCACACGAGAGATGTCGCAGGAGACTTGCCTGCAGCAGAAGTGTCAGGGCTCTGCAGCACACTGCAAACCGCACGACCTCTCGGAGGTGGGGGTCTCGCCTGCTCACCAGCTCCATTCTGAGCTCAAAAGTTGCCTCAGTAGGTCACTGATGCCGGGGAAATTCTCCCTCCGGTTTTGCAAACCTGAATTGATGAACAGAGAGAACAGACACAGAAAGGTATTCCTGGCTTCAGCCATGTTTGTAAATTATGCACCTTTATTTACTATCAGACACTTCAAAGGGCCGTAAATCTCTAAGAACAAGGAAGTCACTTATGAGAGATCACGGATGTGGGACATGACGCAGAGGCCTCTTTGATATCGTTGCTATTAAAAAAATTTCCCTGACTTCTTAACCTTGGCCAGGATGCAGAAGGAGAGAGGTTATACCATGTACTCTCAGCCCATTTCTTACTGGGCCAGTGTAAATACCAGAAGCAGAGAGGCTCCTTGGCCTCTGCCACAGCTGCCTCAGCAGAAACACCGGCAGCTCAAGCCAGGTCTCTGCCAAGCACCTACACACTCATTCAAGTTCCAGTGTGCTGAATGGGATTTAAAATTTTTTTTTTTTTTTTTTTTTTTTTTTTTTTGAATAGAGACAGAATTAAAATGTGGACTCTGGGCGTAATGTCTGTGTAAGCAGTTTGCTGACGGGGGCTCGCAGCCGGCCAGGCACTGCCAGGCACGCTCTCTCCTCTCTCCAGCTCTCTGCCCTGCGTTTGCCCCTGGGAAGCTGAGAAAGGTTTTACTCAGCTGCCTCCATGGCACCGACCCCAGAAGCTCCGTCAGAGCAAGGCTAAGGTGCCTTCTCAGATACGCAGGCTTCCCCCCGCCCCTTCCATCGATCAGAGACAGCATCTCCAGGACGTGACACTCGCACCACCCCACCCTCGCCACCTGTGATTTTCCAATATTTTGGCAGGGGTCCTCGTCTCCAGAGTGAGGACATCTGCCTGTCAAGCAAACTGCATATGCTAAGGTGGCTCTCGTCCACCTCTTCCCTGCAAACCTCACCTGCAAGATTTAAACCGCTTTGTGGAGTCTCATTGCTTTCTGTTCTGTATATTCTGAATTGATGTTGTGGGACCAACCATGAAAACGACTGGCCCAGCGCCACGAAAGCCAGGCAGTATCTGTTATGCAGCTTTTTAAGATAACACATTTCTTCCGTTGGTTCCCCGGCCACCAACTGCTTTTCAGTTTGAGAAACAGAAGACCCACAGCTCTTGCTAGGTTCCAATGACACCACATCCTGCACTATTTCCCACCTGACATCTCTCTGATCCAGCGCCTTACAATACATAAAGATCCCCAAACCGATCACTTAATGATCTGAAAACACTCTGAGGTGCTCCTGTTATCAATTTACTGATGGAGCATAAAACCTGGCAGGTTGAAAACTGCATGGGAGAGCAGAAAGTAATCATCAGCGAAGCAAAAAACAAGATCCAAACATGTTCATTTATAGTTCCAGTCCCTAACCACAGGATTATGCCTCTTATTTAGCCACATACAAAAGTTTTGGGTTTGCTCATATTCTTCTCTTGCTCCAGAGCATTCACAGCTACAGACAAAGCAACTAGTGGGAGGCACATTCTACTGAATCACGAAGCTGCAATGTTATTTTAAGAGAAGGGATACTTCAGCCCAGCTGTAAATTCTATTAAAGCGCATTCACAGCTGCAAATCCTATTAAAGCACAGCAGCAAAAATTGTCCCAGCACTTTAAATATTTTTTAAAAAGCAGAGAAAAAGCCTTGCATGAATGCGCCAAGAAGGCTCAAAGCAAACAGCTTTAAAAAGCCTGTTCCTGTCACGACGCAGCACACCTTGTAACGGAAAGCAGCGAAATCTACAAAAAGCTACAGCCCACAGCCACCGTTCTGTAGGGAACACGGCGTCAGAGCTGGTATGTCTCTACCCCGAGAAGTGCGGCGTGCAAGAGCACCTGGACCAATGGAAAAAGGACACAAAAAGGCAGAAGTAGGTTAAAAATATTTCAGTAGAAAAAGATGCAATGCCTTATTTAAAGATGTCTTTCTTTCCGTGTTCTGCATTTCCCTTTGCTCTCAGATATGAACTGCGTTTTTCTCGCTCTGGAAACTGTGCTAAGAAAAGGAGGCGAATACGAACAAAATAGACGTTGGGTAAATTATCATGCAAATGAAAATACATATTCGGCGAGGTCTGTAAAGATGTAGTGGAGACCGATTACCACCCGGTGGCAGCAGGCCCTCGCCACAAAGGCTTTTCCCAGCTCAACCAGCTCCGGGCTGGGGGACGGGGATTTCTACTGGGAAAGGGGCTCCAGGCTGCATCCCAGAACACTTGGAGAGCGACGGTTTGGGCACTCTTGGTACTTCTCCAGCCTGCCATTAGAATCAAGAGATACTCCAGAAATATCTACAAACCTGTTCTAGCCAAAGAAACACAACCAAGTTTGGGGAATCCCGTTCACCTAGCGCTGTTTCCGTGGGCCTGGGAGCTCCAGGCCTCCTCGCCGCCGCTTTCACTCCTGCCCAGTTTCAGCTGCCGGCCCGGAGGCCGCAGCCCCGGCACCGCTCTGCCCGCGTCTGAGTGGAAACGGGAACGTGCCTGCCCCTTCGCACCTTTCGTAACCGCTCAGGTGCGCGAACAAAACCAACGCTGGCTCGAAGCACAACCCAAGCGCTCGGCTCAGGATGACGGACGGACCCGCTGGGCGAACGCTGGAGTGTTTAGGCCGGGTTGGAGCCCGAGCTGAGGATGCACCTCGGCTATCGCAACAGCGTGCCCAACCCCGCTCTGCAGGGGAGCCACGGGGGCCTCAAAAATCCCTTTTCTGCCGCTTCTGTCACGACGGGCAAAGCCGCCGCAGCCGGCACCGGGCGTTTCCCCGGGCAGAAGGACACGCGGGGCTGCCTCCCCTCGCCCCGAGGTGCGGCGGGCGGGCGATGCGCCGAGGCCCGGGGCCGGGCCGAGCGCCCCACAGGGATGTCCCGAAGGTCGGGGCCGGCCGTACCTCCTGTGTTTACGAGGGGGCCGCTGTTCGAGGCGCGTCAGCGGCGCTGAGGGGCTCGGCGCGGGCAGGACGGTGCGTCCCGGCCCTGAGGGACCCGCTCGCCCCCCACCCGCGAGGCCTTACAAACGGGCGGGAAAATAAAGCCAAAGCCCCACGCGGGACGCGCTCGGCCCCGCGGTTTCCACGCGCGCGGGCGCCGGAGTGGGGGGTGGGAGCGTGAGGGAGCGGCGGCCCCGTGGAAAAATGGAGGGGAGGGGTGGGGGAAGGGAGGAGGGGGCAGCCCCTCCCTCCCGCGGCGCGCGCGCGGCCCCGCCCCTCCCCCACCTGAGCGCCCGGCGCGCGGCTCCCGCCGGCGGCTCCATCCCGCCGTCAGCGCCCCGCCCACCTCCCCCCCGCTTCCGGCCCCGCCCCTTCCGGGGCTGCGCGCGCGCCGCCGGGACGCGTCACACGCGCGCGTGTGTGTGTGTGTCTCGGGAAGGGGCGGGCGGCGCCATCTTTGTTAAGGGCGGGCGGAGGCGCCGGCGCTGCCCCGGCCCGTTCCCGTCGCTCGGGAGCGGGCGGTACCGAGCGAGCCTCGGTGCGGCAGCCGCCGGCCTTCCCCTCTCTTGCCGTGAGGTGAGGGAAGCGTCAAAAAAAAAAAAAAAAAAAAATCAGGTGCTCCGTGGCAGCGCCCAGGAGAGGGGGGATGCTCACTTCAGTCACAAATTTAAATTTCCTTCCGACGGCGGCTCCCGGGGCCCAGCTCCCGCTCTTGCCCCACATCCAGCAGCCATCCCACCCTGCAGCCAGGCAGGGCCGGGGGGGACGAGTCCGGGCCCAGGGCAGCTCAGGGGGCAGGGGGGGAAGCAGAGAAGGGCCCTGCTCGGCAGCAGGCAGCGCCAGCCAGCAGCCCCGGCCAAGAGCGAGGTGTTACTCCTGGAGATGCACCAACACAAACCTCAAACGAAGCCGCACGGCGGCTGCAGCAAGGGCACGGCTTAAACCCGGTCTCTTGCCAAAACACATTAAGCAACATCACATAACAATAGTCTGGTAATAAGTGTATGTTATTACATTAATTACTTACTATTACAAGAGGGTGGGCAGGTTTCCCTCAAGACCTCGTCCGCGTGATGACAGAGGCATCAGACTTTGCTTTCCCCTTAACCAAGCTCATGTTGCGTTTAACCACATCGGGAACACGGGTCTTGCGCCCGACAGCAACTCTTTGTGCTAAAACCCGACATGCCGTGGTAGGTGCCTGACCGTATCTCCTGCAGGAATGGAAGAGAAATCATCGTTGCCAACTGAGTCTTCAAGGGAGACTCATTGAGTGGTTTTAAACAGGGCTTTGGCTTGGGAAGGACCCAAGTTTTCTCTTTTGCTGGCAAAAATGGGAAACAGCGGAGCGGTCAGGGTCAAGGAGAGGCATTTTAAGGAATGCCTGCAGAAATTGAAAGCTATGGGTACAAATCAGGTCAAAGCATCAAGGATTTGCATTCTGGGCAGCCAAGTCAAGTTCGAGATCAGGTGTGGCTCGCAAAATAGTCCCTAATTACAAACTGTGAACACCATTTGTTCTCATTTTCCTAATTTCTCATCTATGCTTTTTTTCTTCTAACCATTTTACAAGTGCAAGAGGTGTATGCGTCTGCGTGCATGCAAGTGCTGGGGAAGCGGAATTACTCCCCTCAGATCAACTGGTTGTGTAAATACTGGTAAAATGGGTAGTAAGTACCACTTGTGACTATTCTTTCCCTCCCAAACGTAGCATTCACTTATGATTAAATTCACCATAACACGAACAGAGAGGCTGTACAAAAGCTGCTTACGTTCCTTTCTTCAACCATGCTGCTGAAGTCCTTTCTGTTTAGAAAAAGAAGTACAATTTTTATGTTAATTTAATCACACTAAACAAAGCTCCTGGAATATAGAACTAAATTATCAGAGAAGTTGGTTTTAAATCAACAACATTGTCACAGAACAGCAAAGTCCAGCAGAATTCTTATCTCACAACTTGGTTTCCATTCAGTATTTTTTAAAGCCAAGGAAGCCCAGCACCATTCCTGTTTCTTAAGAAATCCACTTTAAGGACTCTCCTTTTGCCAGGCAAAGAGCTCCTGCAATTCTTGCCGATAAACAGACTTTTTCAGAAGAGAGTCAGTTTGATTCTGGCACAATTACTCCCAGAAATGTGAAGTTTAAGGAATTCAGCTAAGGGAGGGCTCTGGGAACAGAGAGCTTCCTAGGAGAGGACTAGGGGGACAAAATGAGGCGATTTCTTGAACAAAAATTACATTTGCCTTTAAAAAAGCTTCTCCTTTAACTAGCTCTTTTGCTTAAATGAGCTCAGTGCAGTTCTAGCTAGCCCGCTTCTATTATCATTTGAGGATAAAGCTTCTGGCTAAATAAAATACCCATTTACTAACCCATGAAAACGTGCAGATTTTCACATAAAGAGACTGAACTTTGGCCGTTTGCTGAAGGGCATCAGAGCTCTGTCCGCTGGAAAACCCCGTTCTCTGAAGGAAGTCAGAGTCCGCACCACAGTTCCAAGAAAATGTGAAAAATGCGAGGGGAATGAAAATTTTCCATTTTACAGAGCTGAAAGGGAACTGCCTCCCTTCTGAGCAACAGCCTTTTTCACCCTGTGAACTAAGTGCCTCTCTGCCACAGCTTCATCTCACGCTCCAAGTCCACTCCTACCCGAGCCTAAGCAGCACCAAGCCAAAACTGCACCGCTGAAACAAGCCAAACCAAGACCACTCTCATTAGGGTCTCCAGAGGAAGACAGGACTGTCACCCCCAGACACTGCCGTACTGCGCAGGACCTTTGAGGTCTCTGTGCTGCGTGGTAAGGAGGAGCTGAGCTACAACATCACGTCTACCAGACCTGACAGCACTGAAGTTACCTCCCCGTTCTGCTAATAAAAAAAACCCTTACAAACATCTTACCAAGATTTAATGTACATTTATTCTTAACACGTGGAACATATAGTATAAAGATTTCATACTGAATAAATGATATTCATTAAGCCAAAAAAGGAAAAAAGGGAGGAATTTACATCAAGTTTTTAGCTACATCGTCTGAAATACAAATATGCAGAATTCATCACTGAAAAATCTCAATTGTGTTTCTTCATCAGGAACTTCAACTGAACCTAGAACTTTTTCACACCTCGATTAGAAAGAAAACAAAAACAGGAAAAATAAACTATAAGTTGATTGGCTGCTGAGACAGCAATGACTTTATACACAGAGACCTGTACAGCATCCTCCAGGGAGGGATGTCTGGCAAGAGATTAAATAATTGTGTCTCGCTTTTGCAGGTCATCAACTCGTTAACTCGTCATACTATAAAGGGGTAGGGAGAGGGGGACAAAACTGCAAGGAATCTTAGGGTATGTGCAATGTACAACGTCATATATATATACACACGTGGCAGCATTCAGGCTGCAGCTAAAGGTTAAAACCAGTTCTAAGAGGTGATCTCAGGGTTATTCATACAATCAAGGAGGAAGAGAGAAAGAGGTCAGGGTGTTGTAGGTTCACACATGATACTTTGGGGGAAAAGCCTTTTTTTCTCCTCAACATTAACTAAAAACATTTTTAAAAACTACAGCTTGCTGCTGATCCAGCGTTTTTTTTTCTTTTTTTTTTTTTTTTTTTTTTCATGTGAGACATTATTACAGTATGTTTACAGTTTAAGGTGTACAGTACATGAAGTTCTACACGCTACTGCACAGGCCTCCCTTGGACAAGGTCTGTTCACAACTGGTAACTTCTTGGTTCCTGCAAGATTGTGAATGTACAACGATAAACCACACAGAGTTCAGCAGTCACTTTTGTCCTTCAGAGTTTACCATTAAAAACAGTTATGAAAGTGGTGCCTGTCAATGTGATAACACGGCAAGTCGTTTCCCCAAACTCACTGTAAACGACAGTAACTTTGGTTAAAATAAAAAAAGTCTTCTATGTAGACAGAACTTTGTCTCCTTTAATAAGGGATTCAGGACAAATTTGAAGGGCAGGGGAAGGGGAGAGGGAACGGGGACATCTTTCCCCAAGGGAGAAGCAGGACAGCGCAGGGCAGACAGTGGATTCTGAGGTGGTTTTGCATAAATAAAGGGCAACAGTCAGTTTCTAAGTTCTCCACTCACGCACACGCACACAGGGTCTCGGATCCCACAGCTGTCATGACTGGCCAATTAAAAACAGTACATCACAAATAACTTGTGAAACCAAAGAGTTCATCAAAGGCGACACGGAGATGTCCAACAGCCGCGACTCGTATAACGTGAACTCCGAGTGGTTCTCGTCCACCTTGGCCAGGGCGAGCAGCGCCCGAGCAGCTCGGCGCATCATGTCCACGCTCGTCGACTCAAAGGGTGGGTTCTGCATGTGCATCAAGCCGGCCTGGCTCTGCTGGAACTGCGTAGCGGCCAGGCTGTCCTCCAAGAAGCCCAGCAAGTTGCCAATGCTGCCCTTCTGCACAGCAATCGCTCTTGCTGCCAGGCTGTCCCCCTGTGCCAAGTTGGCCAGTAGTACCACAGCCATCTCTCGACACACCGGGTTCTTTCTGTCACTAAGGAACCGCACCATGGTGCTGTACAGCTTCTCCAAGCGACTGAAGGGGGGAGTTGCAAGAATCAAATCCACATTGTTGTCCTGGATGCTGAGTTTGCTGAGTGTTTCCAAAACCAGTCTCTGAGGGGAGAGGACCGCGTTGGGCCCCAGCGTTGGGAAGGGATCCTGGGCCTCTGCTGACGGACACACTGCCCAGTGGAGGACTCCATCCAGGATAGGCAAACAGATGCTTTCCGGGTAAGGGGAGAGGTCCAGCTGCCCAGAAATGTTGGCCAACGTGACCAGTGTATTTTCACGCAGCATCTCCAAGCAGTCCCACCACCACTCCACCTTGTTGCAGCTCACCCCTTGGTCCTGCTCCTCCTCTTTCTCATAGGTCAGGGGTGCCTGTTTGCGTTCTGGATGCTTGTGGTGTAAGAGAATCAGTTTCCCTAGAATCAGCAGCAGCCCGGGGTGTTTAGACATTTCAAAGTCATTGCCCGGCACAAACGATAAACTCCTGATGATGTTAGAGACACAGATGCAGCGCTTCGCCAGAGAGTCCTGCCAGTCTAGGAGGGTGCAGAGGGGTGTCTCGTCTTTACTGTGAGGTTCGTCCTCCAGAATTTTTATATTTCTGTGGCTCTGAGCTGGACTAATGCCAAAGGGAAACTTGCTGCTTTCCTTCGCCATTTCCAAAGCTTTGACCTCTTCCTCCTCCCCTGCCAGGGAGCCCGGACGCGCCGAAAGCATGTCGTCCATGGTGGCAGTTATCCTCTTCTCCAAGGAGCTGTCGGACGGAGGGGTCTCTCCTTCCCTAGTGCTCGGATTGCT